ATCTATAATTATAATTTTGAAGTTAGTAGAATGTAAAATAGGAGTTAGATAGGTAATAACTTCTTTGTGTAATTGTTTTTTTTTTATGTGTTAGGAAGTAGATTTGAATAAGTTTTATGTAGTTGTTTTTGAAATAGAGATTATTTCAATAATGAAGTTTTTGAAGCTTTGAATTTTTCTAATATATTTTGCTATTTATTTATGAATTAGAATTCTAATACTTCTTTGGCAATGATTACTAGGTACCCAGAAGTTTTAGTAGTTAGAGAGGTTTTTAGATATTAAAGAGAATTTTGCTTCTTTTAAGTTTAGATGAGTTTCTAAAATACCAAATATATTGATTTGATTTTCTGTAATATAGTCTATTAGGCTTTGTTATTTGTAGTTTTCTAGTAGGCTATTTGTATTAAGAGAGTTAATTTTAAGTATGTGTATTAGTATTTCATTTTTTAAAGAAGATATGTTTATTGTTTAATTATTAGTAGAATTAGGAGTATTAGTAGATTTGAGAAAAGTATTTTGGTTGATTAGTAGTTATTTAATTTTTGTTCAAATTGGTAAATTATAGTATTTGTAGTAGAGTTAAAGAAGAAGTATAATATGATTAGGAAGTATTGGTTCTTTTGTATTTGTGTATATATGAGTTTCAGTTTGAGATATATTTATTGAGATTTTGAGTAGAAGTAGATATAATAGTTTTTGTAAATGTTTGAGAAATAAGTTGAGTGTTTTGTTTTTGCTAAGTATAAGAAGATTGTTTATTAGTAGGAAGTTGTTAAAATAGATATTTTCTTCAGTATAAGATGATATATTAGTAACTGAAAGGAAAGATGAATCTTCTGTTAAATTGCTCATTATATATCCAGTTTTTATAGTTATGCAAAAGTTCAAAGCCTGCTCTGTATATTAGATTTAGCTATCATAAAATTAGTCTTCCACATATCCTATAACTCTTAAAAGATATATAAGACTTATTACTCTTTTAATACTTTTAAGACTTATAACTTCTATTAATCTTATATATTTTATAGAAACTATAAGATTAATTGCTCCTATAAGTATAGGATCTCTAAAAAAGTCAAAGATTAACTTAGCCACAAAATTAGACTGCAGTTTAGTTATATAGGCTTCAGAAAGAAAGTTCAGAACTAGAGATAAGTATTATATATATACATGATATCTGAACAATTTTATGCATATTTAGATCTATTAAGAATTTATATATATTTGATTAGACTATATAATTTAGACTAGAGAGTATAATACTAGATAGAATTAAGTAATAGGAATTTCAAAAGTTTTGAAAAGAAAATAAATAAACTTCAAAGACGAGCAAGATTATAACTAAAATTTGAGAAAAATAGATTTTTTCTAAAATAAAACAGAAAAAAGAGAATTTATATTATGTGATATCATAGATATTTAATATATATTTATATGTATTTAATATGCATTTATGTATATTTTTCCTATCACTACTTAAAACTAATAATGCTTCTTAAAACTCAAAACTTTCAAAAGTATCAATATCGAAACTGTCTTGAAACTAGTTTTGATAAAATTTTATTTTCAAAACTTATCAAAACTCAAAACTCATATCAAAACTCAAAACTTGTTTCAAAATTCAAATATCATATCAAAACTTAGAAACATAATCCAGTGATATATATATCATTATTTTGTTTACTAGTACTAACAAAATTAGCCTAAATTATACTCTAACTTAAGATCTAAACCTAACTCTAATAGAATATTTTAATAAAATAATGAAAATAAAATACTTTATTGTAATAAACAAAGGGGGCTAGTATTCATATCCTCCAAATTTAGTATTTGTACTCCTCAGCAAAAAATAAAATTTTTTAAAGATTCAAGTAAAAATATCTTGATGACTACCTAATCAAATTTAATGAACTTTTTTTTATTTCAATTTTATGAATTCATAGAATTCAAATAAAAAAAATTTTATCAAAATTGATCAGGTGGTTATCAAGATATCTTCACTCAAAGTTAAAAAAATCAAAATATCTATTAAAATAGCTGTACTAAAATTTTTTAAAACTTTGAGCAAAGATATCTTGATAACCACTTGATCAAATTTGATAATTTTTTATTTATTTAAATTCTATTAATACATAGAATTTAAATAAAAAAAAATTATCAAATTTGAATAGGTGGTTGTCAAGATATCTTTACTCAAAGTTAAAAAAAAAACCAAACTACCTATCAAAATAAAAGCTATACCAAAATTTTATTAAACTTTGAGTAAAGATATCTCAACAACCACTTGACTAAATTCAATGAATTTTTTTTATTTAAATTCTATTAATTTATAGAATTTAAATGAAAAAAATTCATTGAATTTAGTCAAGTAGTTGTCAAGATATCTTTACTCAAAGTTTTAATAAAATTTTAGTACAACTTTTATTTTGATAGGCAGTTTGGTTTTTTTTTAACTTTGAGTGAAGATATCTTGACAACCACCTATTCAAATTTGATATTTTTTTATAAAAATTCTATGTATTCATAGAATTTAAATAAAAAAAAATCATCAAATTTGATTAGATAGTTATCAAGATATCTTCACTCAAAGTTTTAAAAAATTTTAGTACAGCTATTTTGATAACATTTTAATTTTTTTTAACTTTAAATGAATATATCTTGATAACTACCTGATCAATTTTGATAATTTTTTTTATTTGAATTCTATGAATTCATAAAATTGAAATAAAAAAAAGTTCATTAAATTTAATTAGGTGATCATCGAGATATCTTTACTTGAATCTTTAAAAAATTTTATTTTTTGCTAAGGAGTATGAATACCAAATTTGGAGAGTACGAATACCAGCTCCCTAAATAAATGTTTTAATAAAAATAAAATACTTTATGAAATAAATATTTTTTTAAAATGAAATATTTTATCAAAGTAAATATTTTTTTTTAATTTTAATAAAATAAATTTAGGGAATTGATATTCATACTCCCAAATTTGATATTTAAACCCTCTTAAATTAAAAGATTTTTGAAGTTTGGATGAAGATATCTCAACAACCATCTTATCAAAATCGATAAAAAATTTTTGTTTAAATTTTATATATCTGTAGAATTCAAATAAAAAAAATTTATCGAAATTGGTCATGTGGTTGTCGAGATATCTTCGCTCAAAATAAGTAAAAAAATTCAAAATGACTATTAAAATAGAAGCTGCGCCAAAATTTTTTTAAAACTTTGAACAAAGATATCTCAACAACCACCTGAGAATTCAACCAAAAAATGTTTATTGATATTGATTAGGTGGTTGTCGACGTTTTGAATTGTTTACTAACTTTAAGCAAAGTTATCTCGACAACCACCTGACTAATTTCGATGAAATTTTTTTATTTGAATTCTATAGGTCTGTAGAATTCAAATAATCGATTTTGGTTAGGTGACTGTCGAGATATCTTCACTCAAAATTTTTAAAAAAATTTGGCGCAGTTTCTATTTTGATAGACGTTTTGAATTGTTTACTAACTTTGAGCGAAGATATCTCGACAATCATCTGACCAATTTCGATTAAATTTTTTTTGTTTGAATTCTACAGATTCATATAATTTAAATAAAAAAATTTTCATCGATTTTGGCCAGGGGGTTGTCGATATATCTTCTCTCAAAGTTCAAAAATCCTTTATTTTTATGAGGTATGAACTGGCATTGGCCCATGATCAACATAATTCGGCCTGAAATTATGGAACAATTTTTATGCGGTTAAACCCAAGTGGCAAAAATACCAAGACAACTTTTCAATAATATCTAACTTCGATAAACATGTTTGATTTTAATAAACTTTTGAGTTTCGATACACTTGATTTTCGATACTACTTTCGAGTTTCGATACCACTTTCGAGTTTCGATACCACTTTCGAGTTTCGATACCACTTTCGAGTTTCGATACCACTTTCGAGTTTTGATACCACTTTCGAGTTTCGATACCACTTTCAAGCTTCGATACCACTATCGAGTTTCGATATCTATATTTCGATACTATGAGATTTATCGAAACAGTTTCGACACACCAAAATAGTTTCGAGAGGCATCATTACTCGGAACCCAATTCTCTCATGTGACACTAGTCACATAAATTTAAAGTTAAAATACTTGTAACATTTGAGGCTATTTATAAATTTCATTTAATTTAAATCAATTCTATCTTGACTTGGGTTAAAATAGAATTTCTCTCTTTGTTATATTATTATTACATAATCACTACATGAAGATTATGACAATATAAATGCAAATGTGACATGTATAAATAAATGTCCAGAACAAGAAATTTTAATAACCACTTTGTTTGTACAGGAATACATTAACAATTAGTTCTAATTGTGTCACAAAGAATGAAGCTACAAGTAGACTTTAAAAATTTATCTATACGCTGAGTTAATGAATTTAAAAATTAAAATAACTATAAGATTCTACTTCATCACACAGTCGATTCTGTGTGCATTTCAGGGACTATATGGTAATAAAGGTATTTTAAGAGATTCTACGCTTGAGAATAAAGTTAATATATACTATATACTTGGACCAGAATCAAAATTTAAAATCTGAACTTAAAAAAAAAAAAAAAAAAAAAAAAAGGAAAAAAAATTCATAATGTTGGTATCAACTTAATATCAGACTTTTTTATAGGCAACTGTGGCGCTACATTATATAATACATTTATTTATTACTACAATAGAACTTCGATTTAACAAAATAAAAAAAATATTTATTAAAACGGAAATCTTCTTTCGTTTTCATATTTTCGAAATAATTTTATGATAAATTTGCTACAGTGTTACGATGAATAATCCCGATTTCCATTTAGGTTTATCCTTGTATAACCATTAATTTATATTATTTATATTACGGAAAAAGGTAGGAATTTAAAAAACGAAATTTTAATCGTATCTTAGTAGTTGTTAAATGTTTGCTATAAATCTATCTCAATTTCTTATATTTAAAGATTAACATTTGATATGTCAATTAAAAAGTTTAAGGAAATATTTTATTTGCTCTTTATTTTATCGTTGAATGTTCTCAATATTTATTCATTTATACCTGAGCCACGTGGTGGTCACACTGCTTTATTGGTCAATAATAAAATTTTTTTCTTTGGTGGTTCACGACCGATACCCAAGACATCACCTCAATGGAATATAACGCATCAATATAATTTATCAGATGAAGTGTTCTATTTGGATCTTTCGTCACAATTTTCTGTCGACTTACCTCCGTTTACAGATCTTTCTTCCACCTCGCGAATCCCATTTGGAACTGAGAAGGGAACAACTGTAATAGGAAATAATGGCATACGTATATTTCTTGTTGGAGGAGTGCAACAAGATATGACAACATTTGGTTATAATACAACAAATTCTAGCTTTTGGATTTATAATATGAATTCACAAAAATGGGGTCTTAGTGAACAAGGAACTACAGGGCAACCAATGCCTAGGCGCCGGTCTACTGGGACAGTTATTGATACGAAAGGTGTAATTTATATATTTGGTGGGCGGGTAGAAGTGGATATTGGTTCAAGTGTATTTACAATATTTGATGATCTATTCACATTTAACATTTTAACATTGGAATGGAAAAATCTTTCACTTCCTAATCATCCATCAAAACGAAGTCATTGTTCTGCAACTTTGATGCCTGATGGAAAAATTATTTATATTGGTGGTGTTACTCAATCATTTCCTGGCCAACCTGCAACTAAGTTAGACATGACTGAAGTGAGTAACTACCTTCTGTAAAATTTGAAAATTATTAATGTGATGAGTAATAGTACTCACATTTCATTAATACTTATATTATACTTATTTATCACTATATAAAATTTGGTATTTTTAGATATATATATTTGACACTATTCAATCCAACTGGTCATTGACAGTATATGTCTTCTCAATATCTTCTTATTACCTTAACAATTTTATTTATTACTTAAAATAAGTAAATTATTAAATTTTTCTAGTATGCGAATAGCCCTAAAAACATAGATCCTCGTGTTGGACACACCGCTCTACTAGGTAATAAGTTTTAATTAATTAACATAAATATTAAATAATTATAATATCTTTATGTATTCTATTTTTTTTTTTTATTTTCCTTTTTCAAAAGCACCGGATAATTACAATATAGTCATTTTAGGAGGAACGAATAGTTATGGACTTAACCAAACAACTGTATATCCTAATTTTGTATTGTTGAATGTTAAGTCCCAACCATTTCAATATTCAATCATAACTCCTTCTGGAGTAGCTCCACCTCCATTGTCATTCCATACAGCAACTCTTTATCAAAACTATATGGTTGTTGCATTTGGTAATTATTTATTTTATACATATATATTATTTGATAATGACTAATTTCATAGGAAGTTCGTTTATATTTCTACATTATTTATACAGCTTAAATTACTTTTTCATAAAACAAGATCACTTATATTGAATGAACTAATATTTAGATAAATTAGAGTTATAGGCACCTATTACCAAAATCAATCTCTAATTTTTTTCGTTATTTAGAAAGTTATCTTAGTAATAACTTCTCAAATGAGTACGTTATTACTTTGCTAACTTTTTTAACACAAATATTAAAGATTAATTTTGATATTGGGATTCTACAACTCATAAAATCATTTATACTTCATTCGTTTATAATTTTGCTTTGTGATCTTATTTTATAAAAACATTTTAAACTGTATAAATAATATTGCTAATAATGAACAAATCTAAATTTCTGAAAAGTGATTAAAGTTGATATTCATGCTAATTTACTAACATTTGTGTTTTTTTTTTGAATTTATAGGTAATATTACTAATGATTTTGGACCTTCGAATGAAACTTCATCAAATATATATTTGATGAATCTTTCAAATTACACATGGGTGACTCAATATACAAATATCTCCACTCCCGTTGGTACTCCCGTTGGTACTCCTACATCTACAAAGCCTGATATTAAATTGATTGTTATCCTTTGTGCTGTTTGTTTTATTGGGGTAATCATCATTTTAATTGGTATAAGATTCAGATCTAATATACTAGGATTTATATCTAATATACCACAGTTCATATCTCATATAAGACCTAATAATATAAGACCTAATAATCCTGTGATTAATAATAATAATATAAGATCAAATAATTCTGTGATTAATACAGGCCAACTGCCTGTAATAGATGAAATAGCTCAATAATTAAATTAGTAATAATTGTAAAATGCTTAATATTAATAGAATTGATTAATGCCACATGTTTAAAATCTGTCATACTTTGTAATTTTAACTAATTTATTAAATAAAGTTTTAATAGAACAGATTATTTTTAGTTTATTTCACAAACAAGTTTATTTCTTATACAATTTTGATATAAACTACTTAAATCAAGGTCTTTAATCAATCCAGTCTAGACTGACCTAGTGTTTCAGGCGAAATTATATATTTCGCCCAGGTGAAATTTCCGAAATAGGGTGAAATATATTTCGCCCAAAGACCTGAAATCCGATAATTCTGAAACTGGCGAAACTGGCGAAATGTCCAAAACCTGGCGGAATGTCCGAAACCTAGTGAAATGTCCGAAAACTGGTGAAACTGAAACCTAGCGAAAGTTCTGAAATCTAAAATTAGAAATATAATTGGAAAAAATACTAGAGCTTAGTAGAACGGAGTATTAGTTCAAATCAGAAGGATGGCGTGAACAGATCCCACAAAATATTCACATATAATTCTTATCTGAAATAACATATATCCGTGACTTGTGAAGCAATACTTAGTGATAAATTATCATTTCCTTTATTAGTTAATAATATTTGCAAATCTTAACGCTAATAAACTTATCTACTATTTATATTTTAAAATAATAATTTAATAAGCAAATGTTTAGCATGACAGTCACATTCTAGTTTAACATGACAGTATCGCGTAGTTATCTAATTAGAAAGATTTATTGATGATACTGTCTTGTAAAACCAAAGATATTCCTTATCATGTCAATATTAATATATTCTTATGCTATGTACAAAAGTTTTTCTATAAGTTTGCTTATATAAAATTTTTTAAAAACGTATCTTATAATTTTGTTCTTTAACGTTGAAATAATTTAAGTCAAAAATTAAAAAGTATCAGGTAATTTTTACTTTAATAAGTGTTTTGAATTGTTTAATAACTTTAAACAATAATATCTTGACAACTGCTTGATGAAATTCGATAAAATTTTTTATTTTAATTCTATAGTATCTTATAATTTATTTAAAAAAAATTTCATCGAATTTCATCAGGTGGTTGTTGAGATATTTTCGTTCAAAGTTTCTAAACTAAATTTTTACTTTTATTTATATTTTAAATCTTTACTAAACTTTGAGTGAAGATATCTCGACAACCACTTGATGAATTTCAATGATTTTTTTTTTATTTTAAGTCTAGAATCTTTTATAATTTATTTAAAAAAAATTTCATCGAATTTCATCAGGTGGTTGTTGAGATATCTTTGTTCAAAGTTTCTAAATTAAATTTCTACTATTATTTAATAGGTATTTTAAATTTTTATCA